AAATGCAACACAATAAACTAGCACTGAATTAAATACTACCTTTGTGAAGATCATGAGGTTATTGTTGAGACTGTCAGAGCAGCATTTACTCTCTCACCATGTTTAAAGGAATATTGTGGGAAATATGCTTTTCACTGTGAGTTGATCGATATCGCTGTCATATCTGGCAGCCAGTTAGCTTAGCTTAGCATAAAGGACAGGAAACAGGAAAAAACGGCTAGCCTGACTCGATCCGAGGGTAGCAAAAATCAGCCTTGCAGCACTAAAGCTCATCCATTCCCATGTTATACCTCATTTATTTAGTCTGTACAAAAAAAAATAAGTGTGGTTTTACTGGGGCTTAGCCAGTCTTGTCAACACCGTGATGTGGCCAGAGGAAACCAGTGGAGAGTTCAGGAAGTCACTCCACCCTGCCAAAAAGCTAATCTGCGACAGGGGCTAGCTTTTTATTTAGCGTACGGACCAAGTCCCCAGGGACAGCTCTGGGGCTCTTTGACACAGGATGCACACCTGCCCTAAAAGGCTTTTTTCCCTATGCGCAAGCTCTGTAGGCCCAAAAATATGGAAGTTTGAGGAACATCACTTAGGCTTTTTTATGCTTCCGCCCGGCGCAGGCGATAGCCATGGCTGGAGGCATAATGTTTTTGGGATGTCCATCTTTTCATCTGTGTATCTGTCCTCATAAAACACATTTTCAAGAACACATGACCAGTTTTTCGGACACTGAATAAGTGGCACTTTTGAGTCAAAGGTCATTGTGACCTCATTAGTTTATAGCCATAATGTAAGAATGAATTGGGCGATTCCAGATTTCACACGTTTACTGAGACAACACACTGAGCAAACAATAACTTGCACAGTATCTACTCTGCCTTTCACTTCCTGCCTCATTCTGAATTTTGAGCGTCATCGGAATCACGTGACTGCAAACAATGTATTGGAGCTCACCTAGCTTATTGTGATCTTATGAATGAGCTTCACCTACAGCTCATAGAGAGGCTGTGCATGTAACAATGCCAGGCAAAAGCATCGCATTCAGCTATACTGCATAAGAATCCATGTTTATATAGCAATAGTCCTTGTGTACCTGTTTAGCCAATGTATATGCCTAGGAAGGTACTTTCATAGGATTGACTGGGGCGACATCATTGAACACAGTATCCAGTTCTCCTTGATACATCTTTCTCACTTTCTGTATAGTATCACCTCACTATGAGTCAAAGTTGCTTCATTTCTGTTACTTGCCACATCTTCTTGCTTCTATTATTGTATAGCACTTACTGTTGAAAAATAAATTACTTGAGTACATAATTACATATTTGTTGGCAAAATGATTTCTTTGTCCTTCTTGATTGACTCATATTAAGCAATGAAAGAGAGGGAGGCTGCTTGTCAAGGTTCATTAAGTCAGCAGACACCTTCCCTCAGGATGAGGAGGGTCAGTGATTTGACTCATAGTTCACGACCAAGTATCTCTTATTCACTGCAGAGGAAACCAAACAAAGCAGCAGCGCTCGGACCATTCTTTCGAACAAGCTCTTGTTAGATATCGCTGAGCTGCTTTCAGTAGGGTGTACTTAATTCGCACAGCATGGCCTGGCATCAACCGGCACATTCTGTGAGGGTCTGGACACACACACACACACACACTGAATCAGATCATCTGTAAATTTGGCCCACACTGACTTCAGCGTGCCAGGTCATAAATTGCGTGCAGTTTCACTGAACTCCAGCCTGCCTCCTGTCAGCCTGATGTGGCCACGTGAAAGAAAACCCAGAACAGATAGGTGTAAAATTTGTGTCAGTGTGGTCTGGGGAGATGGTGAACAGCTTAAACTTAGCAATATACCACAGCAGATTTCCGACTGTTTACTGTACCTTATCTGCAGAGATGTAAAATACGTCTTCGTTCCAGCATTGTTTTACATTGAAAACTACAACCCATTCACTGAATTGTTTGCATTATTTTAATTGGGGATGACTCCTTGACCCCTGAGTGTGTGAAGCAATGACGCAAGTATTCAGATACATAATTTAGTTGCAAACACTTTTTATATAACAATTGAAACAGTTAAGACTGCAGCAATATTTAAATACCATGAATGAAAATGAGGAGTTGACAAGTATTTTGAAATTTTCAAGCAACAATGCCAGAGTTGTGATGGTTCCATCATCCAAATTGTGTGAGGATGCATTTCTTGTCTTACGGAAGATGACACCATTGGTTCTGAGACTAATTATTTAATTGAGAAAATGATCTGCAAATAAATGTCTAAGTTGTCATTTAGTCTAGTATTGGGTCTGTGTTTAAAATAACTGAAATGTAGAATAGCTTTTTTTCTGGATTTTTAGCAGTTTATAATTTAGTTGTACTGTATCTGTTTAAAATAAATCCAAGTCTGGAGGTAATGTCATTTGATCCCATAAAGTTACAAATGACAAAATCATTTACTATAGAAATTGATATTCTTTAATGGAAAATAAACTACCTTGATTCTTTAGATAAAAGACTCAAAATAACACTACATTTTGTGTGTGTTGCTTGACTGTCTGTCTCTGCCTCACTCTGGCAGGCCTGTGTCTCATGTTCAGAGCAGAGCACACGGGACCTCTTAACTCCTTGTTACATGCTTTGTTTGCCATCACACTCCTCATTCCAACAGACAGCTGTGTCAAACGCTGTTTGGGAGCCCATTGCTAAACAGTGGGATGCTGGGCCGGACTGCGCGGGCATCACTGTGTTTGGTGTGAGGCTCCGATAGCACTTGGTAGCAAAAGGAAACGGCTTACAATAAGAAAAAGGGGGGCACAATGACTTCAACGCACTCCGCTCACCCCTCAGTTCAGCAAGAGGCTGTCTGACCTAAATTCACTTTACCTCATCTGCCTAGACATTTGTTTAGCCTTCTGGGCAAACACTTAGAGAAATGTATGAGGGAGAGGGGGGAAAAAAGAATACATATGCTTGAATACATCACATTTAGTCAGGGGAAAAGCAAAACCCGGACATCTGCAGACATAGACAGCCCTCTAGTGGCAACCTGCAGAGGACCTGGATGTCGGAGAAGGCATGAAGAGATTTATGCAGTTTCCTAAACCATCTGTGGAGGTTGTACCCAAACACAGACCAAAACTCATTCTCTGTTTTGACATCAGACCCACATTTGTGTAACAGGCCTAATAAATGTTACCTAATACCAAATAAAATGAGTCACGAGCGAATAAAAAAACAACAGAGGCTGAGCAGAATGAATGAATTGAGGTCATAGAATCTTACCAGCGAGAAAGACAGAAATTTTGTCTTTTGAGTACTGTACTCATTACAATGGCCCGGAGGATCTGTGTGCTGTGAAATCATATGCTCTAGTTAAGCTAAACAAGGGCAAGGTATTCCCACATGAAGGGCAGATGAGAATAAGTAAGTGGAAATGCAGACAGATGAGTAAGAGTTGAGGATGGTTTAGTGCTGTTTGGCCCCGGTATCTTAGATCTCAGATTCTCAGGTTTCAAATATATTCTCCTTCTCTCTCCCCCCACCCTCTACCTCTACCTCCCTCTGTCTCTGTGCGTGTGTGAGGCAAACCTCAAGGGCTCAGTGCAGCGAGCTCATTAAAGGCTTCATTCCACTTCCAGGATCGAGCAGGATTGCAGTATGGACATTGTTTATACACAAATGTTGCCCTGGGAATAATGTTTATTTCTATTACCGTCTTGTACGGGGGGAAAAGACAAATAAGAATGCGAGGCTTGTCTGCATGCATTGCTTTTCATGAAATATGCCTCTCCAGGAGTGCTTTGAAGAAACGGCCATTTTTCAAACCACCTCTTTACAGCCTCAGGTCATACATTAGCTGATCCCATCTCTTGCCCTCTGTCCCTCCAGTGACACATGATCGTGTTCTGAGGAGGCCCGAGAAGCAAAAGTCAGACACCTCACAGAATCATGTCAGGAGCATTTTCACATTGTAGTTTCAATGAACCTCATCCTGTAAAGCTGCTTTGCTCATTAGCATATAGACTTTAAATGTCACTGCGCGTGCTCCGCAGCCAGACCGGGGATGGTCAGGAGTTTACCTCGGCCGAGCGGTCACAGAAGTGTCGTTATAACCGGCAGGGCCCCGCGGTGTGTCTGGGAGGCAGCCGATGACGCAGCGCAGTGTTGCTACACACCCCGAGCTGTGTTTGGAAACACTGAGGCAGCTTGCTACTACAGTGGGAGCCAATGGGAACAGCTGAACCGTGTATTCTTTAGCTCAGCCAAGCGCAGAGAAGGGGGGAGAACAGACAGACACAGAGATCCAGGAAATGCCTGAGCGAGAAGCAGGGACATCGGGGCCCATCAGCTCGCACAGCCACATCAGGCCGCACATTGATCACCCTCACATGATATATCCATCCCCCCGTAATTGCATTGCTGTTTAGAGAGGCAGTCGTTATTTATGAAATATTGAAATAACAAATGGCGTCTCCCGGCAGATATTAAGAAGAGAGATGCCACAGATAAGTCAGAGGCAGGGGCTGCCACGTCCCCCCACGGGCTGCTTGCCCAGTCGCCTGGCTGCAGAAAACCTGCAGTCATCACAAAGTGGAAATATTTACTGCTCACACTCTTGCATATGGGAGGATGGAGTGTGGGTGAGGGCAGCTGAAAAATGACTGTTTGTGTTTCGAAAGGAGTGCTAATCAGATTCCCTCAGCTTCAAAGGCATTTGAGGACAGCCTAGCTAAAGGTCCTGAGTGTGGATTTATGTGTTGTGCAGGCACAAATGCGAGCCGAGCCACCTGAAGTATGAACACTGGCAACAGGACCTTAAAAATCACAAACCTGGAGGAAATGCAGGAAAAAAATTCCTGCTGGTAAAAATTTGTCAGAGAAGTGCTAATTGTAAACAAGTGCTCAAGGGGCCTCTGGAAATGAATCATCAGAATCACTACATTCATCATCAGGTTTGTTGTGTAATCATGTGGGTGTCTGTGGGTTTGTGTGTTTGTGTCTACAGAACACCCTTGAGACCTGCAACATCTGCAGTAAGCCCATCATGGAGCGCATCCTGCGGGCTACAGGGAAAGCCTACCACCCTCACTGCTTCACCTGCGTGGTGTGCCACCGCAGCCTGGACGGCATCCCCTTCACCGTGGATGCTTCCAACCACATCCACTGCATCGAGGACTTTCACAAGTGTGTTTTTTAGGTTTTGAAATAAATATTTTTGTATTAACAATGGATCAAATGACTTTACGTCATGTGTGCTTAAAGTGACAAAACCCACAGATAATTATCACCAAACTGCACAGTTCCCCTTAGTTCTTCATAATGTTTTAGCGTCTTTCAGCTCTTTGTTTTGGTTTTATGTTACTTTATTGTTTGATTCAGTCTCATCATTCTCCTTTCCACATGCACATGGCGGTATTTTTCAGAGAAAAAGCTCTGCACCATATGCTATCTGTCCAACTAGCTGGTGAACATAGTGGAGCATTTAGCAGCTAAATAGCCAGATATTTCCCTCAGGAGTTGATGGACACCAGCATAACTAAAAAGACAGTGAACATTTGAGGTACATTTGTCAGGAGTAATATATGTCATCCAATCCATGAAATGCCTTGATTTAGTTTTTTCACTTACATCATTGTGCAAAGCTGACAACCCCATTATGATCACAGGACATCTGAGGCACTGCGTGTTACGGTCACTGCTTCCAACTGTTGTATGTTAAATAAACAGGACACATTTGAATAAAAAGCTATAGAGTTTTTAAAAGGTCTTTGATAGATTCTAGAGGCTGGCAGTTTTACCCTGATTTTAGTATTTTTGCTAAGCTTAGGATAGGAAACTAGTATACGTCTAAAATTCCAGTGTAATCCTTTGAATCTGCACAAATTAATCTTTTCATATTAACAAACTATCAAATGACTAAGTGTAATGTGAAAGGTGTCGCTCATAGTAACTTGGGGAATTATTAGTTGATGCTGTGGTTGCCCTCAGCTCGAGCATTTTAGCATCTTTCAGCTCTTTGTTTTGGTCGCATGGCCCACAGTTTAACTGTTTTTGTTCGAGTCGCCTTTTCTGTGAGACGACTGAAACATCCCTCTCTTACCTGTCTTGAAATAGCTTTCCATCTCTCCTCTGCAAAGTTCATGGACTTGCATAGTAACCAATCTGTCAGCGGTCAGAAAGTGAAACTAAGCTATTTTTGGAATTTCTAGAATTGGTTGACATCAAATGAGAGCTTAAAGGAGAGTGACTATTTCACCTACATTTGATAGGAGGATGAAACATCAACACCAAACAATGCAGCTCTATAAGATGATAATATGTCAGTATCTTCAGTGAGCTTGCTCCACTGCCCCCAAATGGTTAAAATGAACAAATGCTGATGTAAATTCCTTTACTGACCTGAAAAAACCTGCTATTTTTAAGCCTAATCAATATGGAATCTTGGTTCTTCCTTTTCGGGAAATACTGCAGGCAATGTCACAAGCTCGATGACCTTTTGAGATGTTGCTGTAGACATGAATTTAATAGTAAATTCCTGTTATTGTGTCACAATCCACCGATTGCATAACCACCACCTTACCAGAAATGTTCTCTTGCTCAGTGACCAGAAGGGAAACAGAAGTAAACAGCTGGCTCTTGGTGTGAGTGCACAGCTTTTGCTTTGTGGAGTAGCTGCACTGGGCCGTTGTTTAATTCCACATGACAAGTGTGACCTCAACAGCACAGCCCTTTGTATCGAGGAATAGTCACGCCCGGGTCTAAGCTTTTTCTCTGGCTAATACTATGGCCGGGGTTCCCCAAAGCCACACGCAAGGGACACTTCCTGATTCCCAGGCATTCAGTCAACTGACAGGACCTGAAACCTCAGAGTGCTTTTCATATCCTCATTGATCCTATTGTTAGATAGACCTCTTCCTGCTGAAGGCATTTCCAGACTTACTGATTGGCTTGAAAAGGTTATTGTGAGAGTCAATTGTGATATTTGTAAAAGTCCTACTATGTTTAGTCTTTCCTCAAATGTTCTATTTGAAATATTTCAGAGACGGGCAAATTGAGCTTTTAGTGCCACCTCGGTGTTTGAGTGAATAGATGATTAAACAAAGGGATGAAATGCACATGCAGTATCTTTTCCTTTGTCTAAATAATGGTTTTATAAGGTGTAAACGCTATTGTTTATTGTAATATGTCCTATTTTTACTCTTGTGTGAAAAATTAAAACAAATAGGTTGGGCCGATAGATGATGCCATCTTCCATTGCCGATGGCTGACAGACATCACAATGTTGAGCTGACAAACACCCACCGTGTCTGTAACTTGTAACATAATACCAAGTTTTTATAGTCTGTGTGTGAAACACATGCATTTATAAAAAGACCACCACCCAACCGATGTCATCGTCCATCACAATGTTTCTTTCCCTAGACATCATCTTATGGCTATTTTGTAGACCCAACCCTAGTCACAAACCAAAAATGTTATAAAGGTTGATCTAGTCAATTGAAAATTTGAAATCATTTTTGATAATTGATTCATTATGTTGGTCAAGGATTTGCTGTTTTTTTCTCATTTATTGTTGTAAATTTAAAGTTTGCCAGACAAGTCAAGCAATTTGAATGCCTCACCTTGGGTTCTGGTGGGAACAGTTTATTATTTTCTGACATTTCATAAACCAAACGATTAATCGATTGATCAAGAAAGTAACATAGTGACATAATCGATAATGAAAATCATTGTCAGTTGTGGCCCTAACTGTGTGTACAGTCTCAAAAGCATCACTTTGCAAAATACAAATTATATTTGTTTCAAATTGTGTCACCGAAGTCATGTAACAATAGTTCTATTGGTCTGATCTAAGTTGTCTTATTCCTGGCTCCCTTTCACAGGAAGTTCGCTCCACGCTGCTGTGTATGTTCTGAGCCTATAATGCCAGCACCAGGTCAGGAGGAGACTGTCCGTATTGTGGCCCTGGACCGCGACTTCCACGTGCATTGTTACCGCTGTGAGGTATGTTCTCCATGTGTTTATTTCTTCTGCTATGTGCGCTCCCTATAGTCAGCAGTGGTGGTTAGGTACTATGTTGCACAGCTCCAGGGTCATTAAATATGGTGTCACTCATAGTAACTTGGGGAATTATTAGTTGATGCTGTGGTTGCCCTCAGCTCGAGCATTTTAGCATCTTTCAGCTCTTTGTTTTGGTCGCATGGCCCACAGTTTTAACTGTTTTTGTTCGAGTCGCCTTTTCTGTGAGACGACTGAAACATCCCTCTCTTACCTGTCTTGAAATAGCTTTCCATCTCTCCTCTGCAAAGTTCATGGACTTACATAGTAACCAATCTGTCAGCCGCCGCTCACCGACTGATAAGCGGCGCTGAGACATTACGTGCCTGGCAAAAAGAGAAGTAACGTGTCACATTGTCAAAGAGCTGTGCCAATGTGAGTACACAGAGCGTTTGGCAGACATAAAGGTCAAAGGAAAGCAAAGCAGATTAGTTCAGCTGAAGGGGCTCAACAAGAGAAAGAATTTTGTCACCAGGGAGACATGAGTAGGCGCAGTTGTATCTGTGTGTGTGTGTGTGAGAGAGATGTTGAGTGTGTCACAGACTACAAGCAAATAATCTAAAATCAATGTCTGTATCTGTATTTGTGTGGGAAATTATCAACATGGTTTGTGTGGTTTTTATTTAGTAAAAAGAGTGCAGAGCGCACACCTCCCAAATGTTTTACAGGTGCCAGGTCAAAAAAAATCAAACTGAAGGCTGGTGTCAGACGAAGGAATAACTCTGTACTTTAATAGAGAATCATTTCAGAGATCTTCTTCAGGCATTATCAAGTCCACACCCCAGAGCAGAGCGAGCAATATTTATACTGTAGACACAAATCGGGTATTTGTGATCTGCATGATTAGGAGACCGAGCAGAACTAGATGACACCATACACTGCCTTTTTCTAATAAGAGAGGAGAGATCATTTGTGCGTCCACATGATTTTACAAATTCACACACTGAATTTTACCCACATGTATAGCAAAATGCTCACACTGTAGTAAAGGACAGCAGCGCTGCAAAAGTAGCAGGCTGGACACATGGACAAAACACTGTAGAGTTCAATAAAGAAAGGATTATTTTAGCTCATACTGGATAGCCAGATATTGCCATTCATCGAGCCACGCTGTTAGCATGGCTAAATAATAACATTTAAATTGTGCAAAAAAGGGTTGTGGCACTGTATAATAATACCCATGACAGAGAAATGAACAAAAACAAAAGAAAGATAGACACATCAACAAAAATCTACTCTCCGGATAGACAATACTAAATATATCATGTTATATCTTAAAATCTGGAAAAGACGTGTATACTTTTATAATCACACTTAAAAAATTTCTAACTATGAACACTTCCTAAGAAAAGCAAAGGTTTAGGTTGTTACTGTTGCCCAGTAATAACCAGTGTTTGCCCCCCAGACTCACCAGCTGGTAGAAAACCAGAACACTGGCACCAGCCTCACAGGCTTTTCTGCACAGAGCCTCCTTGACACTGGCTGAGTTTTTAAACAGCAGTAAATGTCTCATTTATAGCATGAGCACAGTGAGCATAAGAATGTGCCAGATCGGTGAGCGTGGCTAATGACTCAGTTTGTGTTGTGTGGACTAACAGAGTGTCTGTGTCCTGCAGGATTGTGGCTCTCTGCTCTCAGAGGGGGACAACCAGGGCTGTTACCCTCTGGACGGACACGTCCTCTGCAAAAACTGTAACACCAGCCGCATTCAGGCCCTCACCGCCAAGGCCACCACTGACCTCTGAACAACCTGCCGCCCGGTCACCCCCACTGTGATAACCCAACGCTCGCTCTCTCTCTCTTTCTGTCTACCCCTCTCTCTTTTCTTTCTCTCGCAAACATATCGATCCACAGGAGCTTGCATTCCTCAGCATATACATATATATCCCCCTATATATATTCACTTTCAGTAACAAGAAGCAGCCGCACGTGTTCACCTGCATACATACATACATATCTATTAATTACAATCACAGCGGAAGAGGCTGTGTGTGTTTAACGGTATTGTTGTTAAAGGAATAGTTTGGGAAACATTTTGGGAAATATGCTTATAAAGTAGCTAAGCTTGGCATAAAAACTGGAAACAGCTAGTCGAGGTCTGTCCAAAGTTGAAATAATTCCACCTAACTGTATCCTTAAAGTTCATTAATTACCTTGTTCTGTCTCATTTACAGTTTTATGGGAGATTATGGGCTGCTTCTGGCAAAGATATAGCCTGCCACATAATCCTCCATAAAGCTACAACTTGTCATTTTTAGACTTTTGTTTATTAAAAATATAGATATGGTAACATGTTACTTAGTGATCTTTAGAGGTGCTGGTAGGCAGATTACTCAAAATGTCAAACTATTGCAGAAAATCACTCCAACTCCGTCAATTAACAGTTGCAATATACATCAACACATTTTATTTTCTAACATACCCTTCTTAAACAGGCATGTTCTAGCCAGGGTACACAAGCATGCATGCATGCATGGATAGATGGATGCAAGCCCAAATATTTCTCACTGACCAGTTCTAGTGATCTAAAATGTCTCACTCTGCTTAAACATGCAAAATGTTTGACACATCTGCCCTGCAGGTGAAGCCATCATGGTAGGGTGTGTGTGTGTGTGTGTGTGTGTGTGTGTGTGTGTGTGTGTGTGTGTGTGAGTGACTGTAGCTTCAGCCACATTTAGAAATGTTACGTTGGTTAGCACATTCATTTTATTCTTTAGTGTTTATTACAGTTCAAATCCACAGATGGTACACAAATAGGGGTAAAATTACACACTGAAGCTCATTATTGCAAAACAGTTCTGCATAACTGAACACCAAAGAATTTAATTTAAACTGTCATATTTACTGTTTACTTATTTTGTATGCAACTGTATTAAACATTACACACATTATAGTGATTGGGACCACAAGAATCACAAATAGTAATTCTTAGTGTCAAAGACAAAATCCTCATTAGGCAGCTGTTGAATGCAATTCCCCTTTAAAACATAGTAGTTTCTTTGTACTTTCCAGTTGACTTTGCTTTCATGTGCACAATAGATTACTATCTGTTGGCCTGAACTATACAATCATGGCATTCCATTCACAGATACAGCCTTATATTTGAGTTTAATGATATAGTTTTTGAGCAGATAAATATGTAACTTTTTCTCTTATTTACAATTATATAAATTAGATTAGTGATTGTAGTGTAAGCAGTCAGATAGAGATAACAGATTTGAGATGGCTATGCAATTTTTATTGTTAATTGCATCGACACTTTACAAGAAATTTTATGAATAAGGAAATATTTTACCTGTACAGATTCAAGCAAGTGTCCTTATAGTAATCCTTTAATCAAAACTATGCTGTTGGTACTGCGTGACTTTGTGTGTCACTGTGCTGTATGTCAGTATTGATTGTACCATTGACAGTTTTATATTTAGTGTTTGTTTAAAGTTGATGGGTGAAGAAGGGACCATGAGTTCCCCAAAACGGACTTATTTTATTATTTGCTCCATCCAAGAGTCATTGACCAGTAGTCTGATTGTCTGATCAGCCACCTCTGAGCCCCCCCCCTTTACCTGAGTAAAAAGGAGATAAGTATATAACTGGCATGTTAGTATCAGAACAAAGTTTAAATCAGAAGACCACATAGAGAAGCAAAATTACCACAACATAAAATTACTTAAAAAGAGTGGGGGGCAGGAAACATCATGTTTTGCAACTGGTTTGACAGTATTTGATCGACAGTCGGTAGTAGTAATGTGCAAAGAATGTGTCTCCGAAAGGAGTACAAGCTAGCAAATACAGATGTAAACAATGCAGAATTTTAAGTATACAATTGGCTATGCATATGTTTGATGAATAAAGAAATGAATTCACCACATTTTATTTTGGTGAGAAACACTGAATGTAAAGATAAGGGTTAGGGTTTCTTTTTACAAGACAACAGGGTACCTTTAAACAACAAAGACAATGTCCTTAATAAGTACTGTTTTGCCTATTTATTAGTTTACAGTCACATATAATGTAGGACAGAGTATTTCCCAAGCCCCGATTACAGATGTCTTGTGCATGTGGATGGATATTTTATGAACAAAGCAATTCATTATCCCTTTTCAGAGAATTCTCTCAACTTCTCTTTGCAGTTTTCCTCACACATTAGGAAGTGGTGTTTAGTGCCATTTGGATATCAGAAAGTGAATATACAAACAAAACCTCTCGATATACTGTATGTCTGGTTACATCAGAGTCTTTGTGTTCAGTTGACTGTGGCGATGTTTCAACCAGGGTAACATAATGTAAAGAAACTGTGCTAATAAGTCCATTAATGAAGAAAAATCAGTGAAAAGTAATTTGACATTTATCAGACCTTTGCTAGAACACATTTTTTATATAAATGTAGAGAAAACTGTTGGATCATTAAACCATTTCTAAAGAATCTAAGTAAAAGTATTTTAAATTCTCTAAAAACACAGTAAAAGCTCTGCACCGCTGGTCCCTTAGAAGATTAGACAAGCTAAACTGTCTCTGTCCCTGTGCTAAACTGTCCCTGTGCCTCATCAATATTTAGAACACATATTTAGACAGACAGTTCATAAGTCGCATGCAAAAACCATAAAACAACAAGACTTTTGCAGTCGAGTGAAAATCATAACTGACGAGTGCAGTGTGTCTTAAAGACATGTTCAAATGTCTCAAGTGTCAAAAAATGTAAGCTGGAGAATAAAGAGTTTATTAAAAAATAGATCAAGCTATAGTAGAAAAAACATTCCAATAAGTGTGTCTCTCTAGTTACACAAGACATTTATTCTCCTTGTTTGATCTCCACTTCTTTGAAAAAATACATACAGTATATCACACCAGCTACATTAGGCCCATACTTAGATCCACCTCTTTGACCATTTGACACTCAACTCGGTGAGGCATCTAATTACCACGTAATGTCATTATGTCACACATGTTGCTAGGTTTCAGCTCACAGAGATGTTGCTGGTGATCCAACTAAGTTAGCATCTCATGTTGGCTGTCTATCCAAGCAGGTCAGAAGGCCCTGCGTTGACCTTTCATAATTACACATCGGGGGATTAAAACACAAAAATCTGAACAAAAGTAATGCAGGGATGCTCGTTTAAAATTCTAATTAAGGTACTTTTTTTTAAAACACTACCAGCTCACTCTCCTGGAAGTTAGTGAGTGGACCTTTTGTGCTTTGGTTTTCTTCAGTCTTGAAGTCGTCTTCAGTCTTCTGAAGCCAAAGTGGTATCCAATATTCAGATCTGCCTCTGGTCCGTACTCTACATTAAAACATGTCATTGCAATACTGTAGCGATATGTAGTAGGCACATTTGCTGTGCTTTCAGGCATGACCAGTGCACAGCTGAATCATTCTAGTGATGTGTTTAACTTAATTAGAGACAGTGTGAGGAAGCACACAGTAATTGTGAGCTACGAACGTCAACATCTGCGTAAAAATGTAGTGCACAACATTGCAGAAAGTGGTCTTTCCACAGTAGCCTCTTACTGCTGTCAAATCAGGTATTCTGTGTGATGTTTGGTAAATGAACCAGTTAACAATAAAATATTTTCTTTTATGTAACATCATACAGTTAGAATTGTTGTTTAATGCACATGTTCACACCTTGCATGCTTGAGGGGATATAATGTTAAACACCAGATTAAGAGCTGTTGTTACAGTTTAGTAAAGGGAGTTTTATGCAGTTGATAAAAAACAACAGTACCATGTTATAACTTTAATAATTTTACATATATACTATAATTTAAAGCTGCACAAATCAGTATGTTTATGTAAGCAATGGATCAAATCATTATGCATAATGTAAATGGAGTAGTGAGGAACTCACAGAGAATTATCACCTGATTCTGCAGCTTCCCTCACAGAGCGTTTTAGCGTCTTTCAGCTCATTGTTTTGGTTTTACAGCCCGCAACTTTATTGTTTCAGTCCACTCTCATCCACCTTGTTTTTAGTCGTAACAGCCATTTTCAATGGAAAAGGTAAACCACCTGTATGCTACCTGCTACCTAAGGTGGCGGCTAGCTGGTGAACAGAGTGGAGCATTCGGCAAAGCAAGAGCTAGATATTTCCCTCAGGAGTTGTGGAAACTAAAACAGAGCTTAAAGGAGTGAACATTGGACTTGCTAGGTGGCCAGAAACAACTTCAAAATACTGCTACTGTTTGCTGTTTCTGCTGGATGTTTAAATAAGTTAATGTTTGCTAAACATTATGATATAATGTGATATAAGGTGATAATGTGTCTTGTTGCGCTGCCCCTAAGTGGCTAAAAAAGAATGAATGAAAGTAGTTTTAAAGGAGATTTTTTTAATACAGAAAATAATTCAGCAAATGCCATTTTAAATTATAGCATACAAACCGCTCAGCAAAAGGTAAAACCATACCAATACATTTTCTATTTTAATTAAATGTTTCAAAATATTTGATTAGTGGCTTATTAGCACATGGTTTCTACAAAGGCCTATCCCAGTCTGGTCCATGAGCACACAGTAAAATCTCTGCTGTAGGTTGCTGATGTGTCATAAAAAGCTGTATTAAACCCAACTGTTTACAGTATTTGAATGGACAGACGCATCATATATCTTTGTGGGAGGCTATCTGACATGAACCGTCTCAAAAAGATTGACGCTACAAGTATAAAGAAACCGTATAATTTTTTTCTTTGTTAAGTGTATTTGTGTTGTCTGCAGCCTTTGTACTACCCATGCTTGTAAAAGTGCCTTTGGCTGAGCAGTATTGAAACACTATACTGTCATCGTGTATTTCATAGTTTGCTATGCCTCACTCAGAGATTTTGCCATGTTTACTTGTCTTTACCAAAGTAAATAAAGAGGACCCCTTTGATTTGGCCAACTGAATCCATACACTAGGTGTTTCTATCCGGCACAGCAGTATTAAATGGTGTTGAGCGTGAAACTCTCCTTGAAGACCTTGATCCTCTGTTGTCAAAGTAAAGCATCTGATCCGGTTCTTGATCTTTGGAAGGGGCATGTAGTCAACAGTTGTTGTTTTTTTCTTTCTTCAATAAAAGCTTTGCAATAACATCGAGTCTCTGTGTCCTTGTTTGCCTAATTTGCAGTATTTTGTTGAATTACGTAGAAAATAGAATATATAACAGAAAATATTAAAATGGCCTCGTTCTGATTCAGTCCAATCCCGCCCTGCCTACTGCCTGTCGCTGGTTAACACTTTGGCGCACTCATGCTCCCCTGAAAACCTCCCGGTGACCTCCTGAGCAGCGTGCCAGTACAACCCAGGTCTACTTCACTCTCTTCAAGAGTCATTTAAAAGCCCTTTAGCGGCAGCAAATGCCCCATGCTTACACAGCTCCGATTCATTTCCTCCTGTCTAATGCTGCGAGTCCCCAACCGCTCTTTAGACGAATTGGAATCACCTGCTTAATAGAAATTCCTACACTCACAATAGTCTTTTGAGTGTACAGCTGGGACAACGGTTTAATTACACAGAGATACAGTGTGCAGCCTCCACGGTCAGCAAATGCACTCAGCTATAAAGTATGCTTGCTGCTGGAATCCTCTTGATGGAGTTGTTCGAATAATTTAAAGACTTCCTGAAAGTCTTGTTTGTTTATGTTTTTTTTTTTTTTTTTTTTTTTTTTTACTGTTGCCTTCCCAAGACCCACTTGATTTAATCCCTTCCATTTGTCATCTTTACTCGTGTGCCTCAGATCAGCAGTAAGTCACTGAGCACTTCATTTCCTTCCTGCAGATTGCTAAATTGAAACGGCATTCAGAAACGAAAGAGCAGGCAAAGTGATCTCTATGGACAAAACTAGAAAAGCGTTATTATTTTAAAGGTCAGAAACAAAACAGCGGCAGCAGGGGGGTCACAAGAAGTGATGCATATTAGAATCTGAAATCAAACTGAAATATTTATCCACACATCCCCTGATGCTTACAGTAAATACAGTGGTTATCCCATCAACTCATTGCTCTCCAGCCTGTGAACTGTGGACCGGAGAGCACGTATTCACCATCTTATCCTCGGCTAGTAGTGAAGATTTAGGAATGGCAGCAACGTGGAGATTTCCTAGTAATTTTTTCCTAAATATGCTGGAGGCGGTATTGCTCGTGTTTGTCTGAGAGAGAGAGAGAGAGAAAGGGCAAGAGAGAAACCCTCTAGCAGTTTAGCCGAGGACTTGCTTTACTGCACATAAATCTGGTGTTTACAAACAAATTGATGAGTGATGGGCCCTCCAGCCAACATGATGTACCCTCCAATTTCTTCCTCTGCATAAAATTCCAGCGTCAAGTCTCCCGGGGCCTGCTTCGGCATTTTTTGAATGTCTTCTTCTAATACGCAGAATTATGGCCTGAATTATTTACCGGGAAGCAGAGATGAGCACGAGGGAGCAAAATGGGCCACTATCATGCATAATCTCGCGCACTCCGATTTAAATGAAGCTGTCATATGGTCAGATTTACATAACATTACAATGTGGGCCCACATCGCAGTGCTCTGAGCTTAATGTTATTAGCTTTAAAGTGAAATCCCACTGTGCATTTACATCAAGAGCATTGATTTTGTGCGTCCTTGAGTTGGCTAAAGGCAGTGATGTAATCACTGAGTCAGTGTTGCTCTCTGTAGAACTTAGACGGATCACTCTGAGACACAAATCCAAGCCATCCTAATGTGCACGTTGTAGGAAACCATTATTAGTGCCTTTTCTTGTTCTACAACTGGCTGTGAGCATCCAAGGACTGGCCAAGGTGCCCACAGAGTTCAAGGGTGCCAGCCATCTCTGTGACTTACTGTTTGTAGATTATGTGGTTCTAAACATTTGAAATATTATCATCAACGTTTTTTGATTCAGATTTTAGAAAGAGAAGAGAAACTGCAATTTGGAGAAATAATGTAACGTAGATCTAAAGTTTGAACAGACTATCAGTGCTGTAGACTTCAGTCACAGGTTGCTCAGAAACCAAACTTTTCCCTTTGCTGTTAATGTGCCCCAATTACAGACTGATGCAAAAGTCTGAATGTTGTATGACTCATTCACGTAAGAACAATAAACACTTTAAGTGCCATTATCTTTGCAGCAGAGTTTCTAAAACAACTGCAATCATGTAAAATGAAACTGTTACCTTTGGTGGTCAACTCTGTTAGCATCATTCAGGTCAGGTATGTGTTTGGTTCCCCTAATATTCTACTACCACACCAGATTGTTATTCTTTTTAATAATATGCACCACGTCATTTTTAGTAATGAAAGATGATTCATGGGATCAAATATGTTGTGAAATCATATTGCTAACCGTGTGTTAATGCTACAGCTAAATTATCTTTTTGCTTTTGTTCAAAAAAGGTATAAATTAGCCCAGAGCAAATATGCTATGGTAAAAACAGAAATCTCAAATGTGACCATTTTAGTTCAAAATCATTTAAGTAATTTGTTTGGAGAATTTGTACCTTCAGATGTTAAATTGTGTTGGCCAACTTACCAAAATGTGCCTTCAGCATAAAGTTTCATGTTTTTATGTTTTTAACCTGCTAGCAGCCTGGCTCTGGGTATAGTGATGGGAATTGCTCCGTACGTTCAGGACACATCACTAGCTCATAGCAATAAATCAGTTGTCTATGTGTTTTGTGCACATTAGTAAACGTTTGAACGCTAACTAAAGTGGTGTACATGGTTAATATTACCTGCTATCAATTATCATCATTAGCATTGTCAATATGAGCATGTTAGCGTACTGGCTTTAACGGTAGCTCAAGCTACCGCTCTGTCTACATACAGTATAGCCTCACAAAGCCGTCGTCACTGTAGTTAGTCTTGTTAGGTAATACTGAAAGACTGTACTTTTACCCCCAGGCCTTGTTAAGTGTGCTACCTTCATTTTATTTTCTTTTTTTGTGTGCTACCTTAATTGACTTTTATTAAGTGTACCTTTGGTTCAGACTGAACTGTTCCTTAAAGATCCAGAAATGTTAGACCAGAGAGTACACATGTGGTGCCCATTATGTGCCTGTGCATATGTGAAAAATGCACTTTCCAGTACTAAAATTTTCTTCCCCTCTACCATTGTTTTTGAATATGCTGACTATAAATTAGGAATGCACCCGATCACAAGCTGGGATCAAATGTTTTGTTTATTTTTCTGTAAAATAATAAACTTTGTCCTCCTGAGCCAGCTTCGTGCATCCTGAACTTTTAAACCTTGTGTGCACCTTAGCTCACCTTTCAACACTAGGGATACCAGGAACGCAGCATGCTGACAGGTTCTGTCAGAATGACTTATACTTGACAACAACACATTGATCGATTGACACACGTACAGACAAATCAGTGTTGAATTCAGAAGTGTGGTGCAATATTCATAAGCACTGAAAACAAGTACAATATTACATCGTTATCATTTTTATTGTGGTGAAAACTACGATAATTTGCTTGTTAATGTTGTAAGCCAGGACATTTTAGTGATTTACAGATATTTGTTGGCACTCGGAGCGCCTAGCTTGAAACCATGACACTCCTAGACAAACTGGGACATCTGGTCCTGTAAGCTAAAGTACTGTAGTTTGCTTGAACCTCAAGATAATTACCCATGCAGCGACCAATAACCATCAGAAACACAGTTTGAGCATGTAAAGGTGAAAATGCAACAGCAAACAGTTTTTAAAGAAATATTTGAAACCAATCTAGAACTGATGGGCTGTGGGATGATGAATGGCTTGTGTCAGAAGCTAGAAGAACACTTCCTCCATGTTATTTCTTTCACCAAAGGAGAGCTGCTGTCCAGAGCGTGAAGGTGGTGAATAACTGCTGATACATACTAGCTTGAACAAATGTGAATATCATTTACATAAGAACTAGCTGTAGTCAGGAAGCCACATTGGACATGCACCAGGCTGCTGCATTTGACATACTGTAAGTTATCACAGAAAGACTTGAAGCAGACTCCACTATCTACAGTCTGGCAGAGATTAATAAATGAATGGTAATTGATTTAGTACGGGGCGTGTGAGCTGTGGTGTGAACACTTGTTAAACTGCCAGTGATAGTAAAGGCTTTGGCTCAGCTGGGTAAAACACAGTGGGTACTGTAGTGCTGCTAATTACTGCAGTTCATTTGTTCTGAGCGCAAACTATCAATACGTCTTTCCAAAAATCTACCAGCAAATAACAGAAAATCCACTCTCCTCATTGGACACGTGAGCCTCCACTGATTACACTTCTTTGAGTTGCTATGCTTTGTCTAAGGGCCTCCTTTCATAACTGAGATTCATCAAAGACGCTCCAGTATATTTAGTTTCAGTTATGCTCACAGAGAAATCTCTCCTTGTTATTTCATTCACATACTCCCACACACTTACACAGAGGAAGATACAATGGGCAGTCCAGCAGAGACTTTTATTAGTTTGGTGTCTTTCAGATTACAGTTAATGTTGGATGCTTCTCTCCTACAAATAGCTCTTTCAGCCGACTCAACCACTGACAATCCTTTCAGAGATTCAGGTGTGTTAGGCTAATGTGGCTTCAGAGGTCTGGTAAGATCACTTCTTTCTAACTCCACACCCCAGATTTTATTCATTTTCAAACTTTTAGCCTTCAACCCAATGCTGACTCAAGTGACTTGAGGACATTTATCAGACTTTATTCAGCTCTCTCTGGAGACACTAATTTGCTTCATACTAATTTTTTCACATTTACAGAAGCACTCCACAACACCTGTAAACACACTTTGATGTCTGTGTTTAGCTGTACTCTTCCCCTACTCTTAGTCAGTTTTTTAAAATTTTAGAAAATTAAGTTAGACTTCAGCCAACGCGCATTACAGTAAACAGCACTGAGCGGTAAAAACAGAGAGGTTTGATTCAGAGTCTGTTTTGAACTTATTGAATGTAGCTGTAGTTTTCTTATTACTATAAACTCCAATATGATATCAGAGGTGTGAACCTGGGACATTTGTTTAATTCACAATGTGCATGTTTTACACTGTAAAAGGTTAATAAGGCAGTGCCTGCTTGTTGCCCTTTGCTTTTCCCCATATCCCATCAATCCCCCTTCTTGCCACAATCTGACTG